AATATCTTTCACTACCAGATTGGCATTGGCAGCCAGCCAACCAGTCAGCACTTTAGTTAGACAAGTGCTATGCTGATATGCCTAGATCTTTGAAGTGTCACACAACAAGTCCAACAAGTTAGTTTTCTTCCTATTTTAATACTTTTTGCAGAGGGCCCCAGCCACAAAATACATTTCCCATCAGGTTTGGGTTTTTTTCAACACAGCTCCTTTCTGTGCAAACTTCTGCTGACAACTTCCTTTTTGAAATGCTTTGACCTCTACGGTATTTTTGAAAATACGGCTGAGAGATGCCTTTGTAAATGATATTACATTATACCTACATTAAGTATACACCCCAGGAGCCCAAGTTCAGAAAGTCATGGTTGGATTGGTTAATACACTTTTTAATGAGCACTGATGTGACATGCTGCTTAGATCAAAGTGCAAAGAGCTGTTATTTGTCACTGCTTCCCATTACAGCACATTCTGAACACGGGCATAGTAATGAAACAAGTAGGACTGACGATATTTAAAAAAAATATCATACATCAGGTTGAAAAAACCCATATCCTCAAAATAACAAAAATAAGAAAAAAGAATACAAGTAAAAGACAAAGTGTCATTTTTAGCAAGTTGTTTCATGTCTGAGCTCACTGGGTATTGTTTTCATTTTATTTTATTATCACATCTGAAGCTGCACTGATAGTAAATCACAAGTGGAGCCTAATTTACCAAGTTGTCCAGTGGAGAAGTCATTGCCCTTTCCTCTTATGAAAAGCTGTTTGTTATGCTACCATGGGGGCTGTCACTTCCCAGGGGAGAAACCACGAGCGTCTGAGATAACTGACTTTTGGGAGAAATGATTTTTTCAGGCGATCCCCAGCCTCATCTTTTTGCAGATAATTATGTTGCTTGATCTGCGGATGGTAAAACAGAAAAAGCCTCTCCTTTCAGATGTTGCTGCTTTGATACAATTATACTTTTACACAATTATACTTCAAAACTACTAGCCCTTCATTAGTGCTCACAGTGACACTGGCCTACCTTTTATATTTAGGTAAATAGCAGGTGAACTACATTAAGATACGCACATGCCATATTACCTGTATGCCTGCCAAACATGTGAGACTCTTTAGGCTGACTTCTTCCACCAGGCAGGACTCCCTAGCAATAATCTGGTGCTCACGACCAACAACAGGGCAATCTGCTTTCCCATACACACTGCCTTTCCCTGCTCCTTATAACGTCCATTTGCACACTCTTTTTTATGTCACTGATAACCCTGACAGGAATTTCTCTTAGGAGAGGCAACTGGCACATGCAGATCTGAAGCACATCATGGGTCCTCATAATTCAGAAACACAGATGTTTGTACTGCATTTCGAGTGAACACTGTTGTTTTTCTTGCTCACCGCATTCACTTACTGAACCTGCAGATGAAGAAAAACTACTTGTGTGTCTCTGCCACTGTAGGATTGTTACAAGTGGCAAAATCAGAATTTTGCCCTGGATTAGTCCTGACAGCAGGCAAGTGTATACACAATGCTTTTTTCCTAATGCACTGCATCTATGGCATGAATCACCTCCCTTCACACACCCGCCTCACAAACACCTCTGTGGCATCTACAGGAATGGGCTGATGATGAGCAAGCAATGTGGGGTAAGGATATTTCTACAGCCTTATCCAGTGTTAATTAACTATATTCATATACATCTGTTTCTTGAAGGATGTTGCTTTTCTCTGTCCACTTCTATCCAGGTCACTGAGAGGATATCTGATCACTACAGGCTTGTACAGACCGCCACCAAGTGCTCCGGAAACCATCCTTTCTGGCTTGAAAGACATTTGTGTGAAGGCACAAGCGCAACACTGAGAATCCAAGGCACCAGAGCGCTAACTCTGACTCATCGCTTATGTGTTTCTGTCTCAGTTTTCTCCCAATGTAAGTGAGGAAGAAGTTTATTCTTCCCTCTCAAGAGAGTTGGAAGGAATCAACATTGTTTGTATTTCTTTTTAAGCACGCAGCGTGTAAACACTTTAGCTCAGTTAAGCTGTTCAAAACTCAGTAATGTTGATTTTCTCAAAATTTCCTCCAATTTGTTACACATTCCTTGCCAAAAGGCCCTACAACTGAGCCCACGAGACCAAACACAAGCTGGAAAACATGATGTCCCTGTCCAGAGGGTATCACTAATGAAAGCCCTGTGCTTAAACTCAGGCACATGAGTCACTCACATGTACATTAAGTACATGAGTGTTTGCATGATCAGGCCTAAGACTAGACAAAAAAGCAAAACTAATCAACAGACATGGGGAAAAGCGCGCAGGAGAGTGCAGCACCAAAGGCATCCTTGACATCCATTTTTAGCTTTTAAAATGCCTGATTTACGTGGAAAGCAGCAACCACACAAAGGTTTCCTTTCGAAAAGAGGACGCACACGAACTTTCTTTCCCTCCAGCTTACGGTCGCGGCGGCAAAGACTCGCTTCGCACGGCTAAGGAAGCGGGATTTCGGCCCCGGGAGCCGCAGCCCCGTCGGCACCTCCCAGCCGACCGCCGCGGAAGGACCAGCCACCTCCAGCCCCCTCTCCCACGCGCTCTCCAGCACCCTGCGGGCACATCCCACCCACCGCCCGATCGCACAGCCCTCGGGATGCCCGGTGCCCGCTCCGTCCCGTTCCCTCCGGCAGGTCCCGAGCGTCCCTTCCCCCGCTGTGAGAGCACAGCCTGGGGCGCCCGTCAACCCAGCGGCGGAGACACCCCCGCCCCGCCCCGGGAGGAGTCCCCACCTCCCGGCCACTCCTCCTCCTCCTGTTGGAAGGGGAAATATGAAGCGGAGCCGTCGTAGCGCTACGCGGAGAAGAGTGGGGACGCGGCGGCGGAGCAGCGGGCATCTCTGGGCACCGAGCGGCGGCCGAGCCGGAGCCCTGCCGGGTCGGAGCGGCGGCGTGCGGGCGGGAAGCCTGAGGAGGGGGGCGGCGCGGCGGCCGGCCCCGGAGGGTGGTCGGCGGCCCCCGGGCCCCGCCAGCGCCTGCCCCCCATTGCCGGGCGGGGGGCTGCGCGGCGGCGCTGAGGCGCGGGGCGCGCGCGGGAGTGGCGGCGGCCGGAGCGCTGCGAGGCGGGGAGATGTCCCGCCCGTTACGGCTGCCTGATTGCGGTACCTGTTCCCAGCCCTGCTGCTGCACGGTGAGTGCGGGGCGGCTGCCTGCGGGTCTCGGCCCATGGGGTGGCCCGAAAAGCCGGCTGGGTTGCGAGGTTGCCCCAAAACCTCGCTGGGGCAGAAGGTCGCGGGTGGGTGCGCTTTCCCGTCGTGGCCGTGAGCACTTGGTCCCATCTGCTCGGCACGGGGAGCAGACAGGACCTGTCTCCTGACAGAGGAGCAGTCTGTGTGGATGGCGAGGCGGGCAGAGACCTCGGTGGCTCTGCCTGCAGCGCTGTGCTGGCGGGACCCCCGCGCAGCGGAGCGGCGGCCGACCGAGGTGGGTAAAGCCGCGCCTAAAGAGCCCCGCTCCGAAGTGAGTGTCGGCGAATTGTGTTGCACGCCTGTGACTGCTTGGATGGAGCAGCTGGTCCGGGCGCCTCACACACAGTTTCTTTACTCGCCTCCGGGCAAGGGCTGGCTCCAGGGAGCTTCGCCGAGACGCCCTGCGGGGTCCGCGTTCCACCGCTTCTTGAGAAGAGATCTTTTGCCATGGAGGTATTATCTGGGAAGCCTCCGGCAGCAGAGTGTGCCAGCCGCCGGGTCTTATGCCCAACTAAAATTGTTTTGCTGCAGAGCACAGAGACTCCGGGTGTTATTGCACACAGTCCCACTTTGACAGTCTCTCAGTTTAGCCCTGGACTGACATCTCTGAAACTGCACAGAAGGCAAAATTTTACTGAGAAAAGTCAGCCTGTTTAAACTTAAAAGTTCAGCTTGTAAATCGATTTTTATGCACTTATATAACCCATCTTTCCAGAAACTTGTTCTTCAAGAGGAACTTTTGAAAAGGAGACTGTTTAATAAGCTGCTTAGGTATGTCTAACATTTGGCAACCAGATTTGAAAAACCTGGGTGCGATATCGTTCTGAAAGTGTGACTCAAGCTACTCAGTTATAGCATCGTTTTGAAGAGTGTTCCTAATTCTGAAGTCCTTTGTAGCATCCAGCATTCTTCAGTTAAATTTCTTAGGACCTCAAACTTGTAAAAACAGGATTTTTTTTTTAACTGTTAAAATGCAAGTGACCTACATGGAATCAGTGGGATATCTGTGAGCTGGGGTAAGGATTTCAAAGCTGTTCCTGGGGTTGATTTCGTGGGGCAGGGATTCTCTCTCTCTATGTTTGTACAAGTGCTAAGCACACAGATGATATTTAATAAATAATAAAGAGCATGGGCTTCTGATGGTGTATTTTGTTTTGAGAAAGAAAGAGGAGGAGACTCTGTTCCCCAGGAGGGGATTTTTTACCCTTCTCACAGCTCAGCTATGAAATCTGGAGAGTGCAGAAACATGTTTAGCTGATCCAGACCTGACAGGATGCCAGAGGTGTTCTTTAAAACTCTGTGATCTGAGATGTAGAATTTGAAATGGGAGGTTTGAAGTTAGAGGGTAAAGAGAGGAGGTGTAATTACAGGGTTGGACTCTCTGGCTCATCTGCTTGGAATTACAGAGCAGAGCTGAACCCTGGCTGGAGCAGGAAACAAATCAGGGCCAGTGATCAGATCAAAACAGCAGCTGCCAAAAGAGGATGAAGAAGGAAAATCATCTATTTCTTCCATCTGCAGTTATGTTTCACCAAATAACATAAACCTGAGTTCTTGTAGGAATATATAACTCTCCACCTTGTATATAAAGACAAATACCTTGTTAATGTAGCAGTGCACAGTTTTGATCAGAGTTGCAAGTGTTTGGAAACTACCGTGCTCTTACAAACTTGGAAAAATATATCAGTGGCATATAATGCACTGAAATGTAGTGCATGTAAATGTATTTACCCTGTCAGTTTTAACTTGGTCAAGAGCTTTTCTTTCCATGCCATGGAGTCAATAGAAGCATCCTTGGGTCAGCGGCTAGCCCGAATTGGTAATATGTAAGAATAACCACCAATCCCAGGGAATTGCAGTGTTAAGCCTCTTTACAGCATGTGATGTTTTTCTTTTTTGCATTTCTATTGCATGTGGCAATTTAAGGGTTAAAATTGAGTGAGTATGGGTGGGTGTTTAAGGATTTTTAGGGCTTAAAGCTTTGCAAAGCAAGTTAAAATGTCCTGTAAGGCTAAAGCTTCTGCTTTCATTACATTAAGAAATGCCTTCTTTAACATCACTGAATCAAAATTGGAAAAAGTTGTCCTCATTTGTCAAAAACCTGTATGGTGTCATTAAAAAAAAAAAAAAGGTTTGCAGCTGGAAGTTGTCCATTATCACTGTTTTCTTTGCTTAGACGAAAAGCCGCAGAAGTTTCAGATGTCAAACACTAAGATCATTCAGCTCCAGAAAACCTGATTAATAAGAGCTATGTTCAAGTGAATTCAAAACAAATTTGGCTAATTTCTTTTGTAAATGTAAACTTTTTTATTACAAATGCAGATGCTAAAAAGAAACTTTAGTCTATTTCCAATTATGCTACTCTTAGAGTAATGAATTAGAAACTTTAAAACAATTAGGTGATAACATCATGGAAATGGTACTAATAAAGATTATGAAGACAAGACTGATGGGCTTTTCAGAGCAAAACTTTGTGCTTTTAAAAGTTCTCTGGCAATATTGTTTAAGTTAGTTACATAGAAGTGTTTTATTTCAAAACCTTTTCAGGAAAGTAATAAGTAAATACATCAGAAGATATAAATACCCATAGCTATAAAATGAACATATACTGTACTCAGTGCAAAAGGCATATGTGATCTGCTCCCTCAGTTAAATAACACATTTCAAAATCTGGAAGACAATAAAGAGAAAGACTTCTAGTGTTTGCAGAGAGAGTTATAAGATGGACTCAATTTTGTTCCCAATTTTGTCAGTGGAAACTCTTTCACTCATCTTTGTAGCTTGACCGGGGGCTAAAAGTGGCAAGATGTAGATGTCATCAACAGCAAGGGTAATTTTTTTGTGTTTTGTAGGGTGTCTGTAGGAAGTAGGCTGCCATGTGATGAGGCCCAAAACTAGCCTCAACCACGCTGAAGGCAAATACCTTTAGCTAGTCAAATCAAGGGTAATATTTTATTATTGAGATGATGCTTTAAGCAAGGCTGATAGAGGGTAGGATTATATGTAGTGAGGATTATTAGCGTTGTCTTTACTCAGGCACAAGTCCCATTGAAGTTAGGGGCAGTTCTGGAATAAATCCCAGTGCCAGGGTGTGGGTGGAGGACAGGGCAGATGTTTCTGACAGATGTTTCTTTCAAAGAGGGCAAGGCCAAACTACCATTGATATTGAACTGCACTGACATCCCAGCACTGCACCCACTCATGTTGGTGGCAGAGTTCCCACTGCCCTGAAGGGAGGTGAGCTTTAACCCTTCAGGGTTTCATAAACAAGCCCACACTCTAGGCAGTGCTGTTTCACCCTGTGTGGGTAGCAGCAGCCATCCTAAAGAGCTTCAGCTAAGCAGAGGTTATGGGCTGTGTAACTGGTGCTTGGTTCTCTGACCTCTTCCAAGATGGGGCATTGAGTAAGGACTGAGCTATAGGGTAACAGGGGACTCTATGATGGGCCTTTCAGGTTTGGGGGGAGTTACCTTTTAGCTGTACCTTCTAAACATACTTTAGATCTCTCCTCAGAATCTTACATGCTCTGAAACATTCAATTTGTGTCTCTTTGGAAGCGTTATGTGGAAACTCTGTATTCACAAGAGAGGCAACAGATACATGTGAAAGGAAGTCATTGTCCTGTTTGCTTCCATGGCCATAAAACCCGGCTTTCCTTTCCCAACCCTTTTGTTTGTAGTTGCTAATTTAGGTCCCAGTCCTTCAAGGACTCTTTGAAGTTTCAAGTGCAGGGAAAACACTGGTAAACACAGATCAGGGCTTGGTAACAGGACATTATATTCTCCATGGCAATTATGTAAGTTTACTGTAGCTAAAGGGCTGTCATGGGCATTATCTAACACTACCCCACATCAAGAAAGAGCATAATCCAAATGTCTGTTTATTTAATTGTGCAGGGCAACTGCCCAGATAAGGAGAGCTATAAAGTTAATCCAGCCAATTATTCTTTATCTGTTGTAAGGTTTTTCAAGTTTCAGACAAGTTCTAACTTGAAAAGAGATTGCTGCAGGAGTAAAGCATGAATGTTAAAATGTTTCTATCAGAGATGAAGCTATCGCACATTTTGAATTTGTGCTATCACTCAAGGTTTTTTAATTCATAATAAAATTGTGTTTGTATTTACATTACTAGAAATTAAAAGAAAAAAAGAAAGAAAGAAAGAAAGAAAGAAAGAAAGGTGAAGTGGTTCCTGCAGAGCAATTCCAGCCTAAATCCAGGTTTGAATCCTACTTTCAGGTAACATATGTTCTCCCATTTAGCGAAGGATGAACCTGCTGAACACCTGGTAGTTTTGAAACTGGTTTGAAGTGCTACACTTGGACATGTTTGAAGCCATGGCTTAGATTCTGGTAGAGGTGTTCATTAAACTGATAAAATCTAAACAGGTTAATATTTAAGATTATTTGCCTTATACTTTAGCAGTCTGGCATAGCTGTGAACAGAATTTGACCAAGGTATTTAGGCATGAATTAAATTAAAACTATTTGTGTTCAAGCACAACTCTGCTTGAACTCAATGTTATCTTTGTTGCAATTGTATTTGCATACTATTTTGCATACTATTTTAAAGAAAACCTAAACATCTATTCTAGCAGCTTGCAGTTTTTTGCAGAAATGTTGGCGGAAAGCTTTGCTGTAACCATTTTTGAAACACGTTTGGGTAATGGGCTGCCAACAGATTGCCCTTTTAAGATTTGTATTTTACTCGCGGCTATGTGCAGAAATCTTTGAAGAACTTGGAAGTAACCTATCTTCCCTTAACAATTATTTATATCTTCGATGGTTGTTCCCACATCAGATAGAGGTTTATAAGCGAACCTGAGAGCCTGAAGCCCTCTGTCTGATGTGGTGCGTGCTCCTATCCATGTCTTAACCGGAGAGGCAGCTGTACAGACCTCCACTTTCCCACTCAGATGGATGTTGCATTCTTCCCCTGTAAAGTGTGATCTGTGAGGGCCTGGGCATGGATCCCCAGTGAGCTGTAGCACTTCTCATGCTGTATTCAATTAGTTTAATGCTAAAGCTGTGACCTACACTGCTAGAGCTTGATTTTGAAAGAGAAGCTGGATATCAGCTCATCATAAAATCGTTTTATTTTGCTTTGTTTTTCTACCTGGCATTTCTGATGGATTCTGGAATTTTCCTTTTCCTTTTGGACTTGATCCTTTGTGAAAACAGACACTATGGAGTGGATGATACAATCGTATGGTCTCTGGTTGTGGTCTAACTAAAATGAGAGCCAACCACAGGCTTCATGAAATTATTGCTGTTGGTCTCGTGCAGAGATTTGTTTGTTTGTTTGTTTGAAGTCTGTCACACTTTTGAGTAATTTTATGGTGTGTGGATTTTGTTTGCTTTTTTTTTTAACAAGTGGGTAAGATTCCTTCATAACACACAAAAATTTAAACAGTCAGTCAGAGTCTGAGATATTCTCAGTTGAGTCTGAGATGCTCAGTCATGGACATACTGAAACCTACCATCTGTCAGTGCTGTAGGGAATAGCGGACTTGGATCTTCTTGAATGAAAGTAATGGCTCCAACTATGTTGCAACTGCATCTATGCTCCAAAGTGGGCTTCTAAAGACTCATGAAATCCTTTTCCCAGTTTCGTGAATGGCTGTTTTAACGCTGAGTCTTCCAGCGATGTCCCATTTAACATGGCCAAATGGATCTTTTAAAATTAGTGACATCATCCCTGCAGGACCTAATTTTTGCAGAACAAAACCTCGTGTGCACTGCCAAGGATGGAGCAGGGGGACACTGCTCTGCTTCTGAGCACCTGTTGCGAGGAAAAACACAGGAAGATGGTGTTTGGTTTACTGCTCTGTGTGGGAAGCATATCGCCGGTCTTGTGTTTGATCTGCAGATGGCACAAGAGGAAGTTGCGTCTCCTTTGTGTGGTAGTTATATCTACAGGCATATGTCAGTAATTACAAAAGTGTGGAAATGATTACTTTGTAAGGAAGTAAATTAACTATTTCCTTGCCCTAGCAAGGCAAACATAGGTAAAGGTCACATAGCTGTCTCTTAATTTTACACTGTATTTCATATTCTGATATTTGGGTCCTGTTGATGTGATGTTGCTTAACATTATTTAGAGCAGCCCAGAGGAGAAAGACTTGAGGGTCTTGGTTGATGAGAAGCTCAATATGTCTTGGGAATGCGTGCTTGCAGCCCAGAATGCCAAATGTATCCTGGGCTGCATCAAAAGCAGCATGGCCAGCAGGTTGAGGGAGGTGATTCTACCCTTCTACTCTGCTCTGGTGAGACCCCACCTCAAGTACTGTGTCCGGCTCTGGGTTCCCCAACAGAAGAAGGACATGGACCTGTTGGAACGAGTCCAGAGGAGAGCCAAGAAGATAATCAGAGGGTTGGAGCACCTCTCCTATGAACACAGGCTAAGAGAGCTGGGGTTGTTCAGCCTGGAGAAGAGAAGGCCCTGCTCTAGTAGCATGTGTCCCTGCCCATGGTCGGGGGGTTTGGAACTGAATAAACTTTGTCTCTTCCAACTCAAACCATTCTATGATTCTCCGTGTGTGTTTTCTACATCTCTCCTTCTGTCTCTGCAGCCTTCATTATGTTCTTATGCCGGTCTTGATTACATAAACTTGTTCTTGCCTTCATTTGTCATAGTTGGATGGACAGAGTCCCAAACAAATACCCCCTTTTCAGGTACAGGTCTCTAGGGCTATTGATGCAAATCTCCCTTCCGTTCACTGGTTGCAGTTTATCATTTGCAAGTTGCAGACAGAACTATGTACATGTAACATGAAAAGCTGGGACACAATTGCTTTTTGAGCTTTATCAAAGAGAAGACAGTGTATAATACCACATAAAGTTTAACTCCTTTTCAAAAACTCCTTCTTTTCATTATTTCCGTCAGGGAATAATTGAGAATGTCTAATGTGGCCACTGTGTTTTCTTCTTTGATATGAGCACATATAAGATGCTATCCTCCTACAGAAGGATTTTTACTTGAAGAAATTAAATGCCCAAGTATGCTTACATGAATAAATCATTTCTATTCACGTATTCATGAATCATATGACATGAGCTAGGCAAAATAAAACTGCATAAAAGCAAGTAGTATAATAAATATACCTTGGAAATAGTCACTTGAACAATTTCAAAATCTCCTCTTGGTGGCAGATTTCAAATACTTAACAACTTCAAGAGGAAATGTAAATTTTCAGTCTTTTCCAATATGAGAAAATGTATCTGCAGGAGACATCCTGTTGAAAGTTAGCACTGGTGGCTACAACTTCTACCAGGTACCTTGCAGGCAGTGTCAATTTTGATCCAAAAGATGCTCTGAGCCTGGGTAGTCAGCTCAAGCAGAGCATTACCCTACCTTGGCCATACCATTTCTGATGCTGCTTTACCATTTCTGGCTGCAGAATAGGAGTGGTTCGGTGCTAACATGAGTGACTCTGCTCAGCAATGTGGAAATACCTGAGAAGCCTTGACTTCCAGAAAGGGAGAAATACTGACCCCCTGAAAATCAAGCTTCTTGGAAGGGCATCTCAGATGGCATGCTCAGATATCAAAGCAACCCTAGTATTTATTACCCTTTAGAAAGCAAGGCCATAAATCCTCATTCACATCGAAGAATTGTTTGTAACCTGCAACAAAGCTACCAGATTTTCCAGTAGACTTTGTGAGGTTGTATTCATTAATCTCATTAAATCTTGGAATCATTTGGGGGTGAGCACTGTTTAGATTCAGGTATTTATTGTATTCTTTCTGATTGTTCTTTACCCTGTCTACTGGATAAGTCCTTGACTCTGTTTAGCTTAGGAATTGCCATTTTTAAATGGTTGACATGTATTTATATTTTTAGCAATGCCGTTTTCCCAGGTGTTACCCAAGTTTGTTCTGGAAGATCTAAGACCTAACCAACAATGAATCACTGACACCTGTTTTTTTGTGGGGTTTTTTTTGGAGTAGGAAATGGCAAAGGTTTATGACAGTGCCTACTTAACACCAAATAATACTGATTTTTTTTTTTTGTAATTTCTGTAGTGATGCTGCACACTGCCCAAGCATTTGCCCAAGTGTTACATGGGGTCTGGGACATAAAGTGTAGGATCCTGTCTTAGGTGGCTCGGCACGGTGTAGGGTTGCACCACACACTGATGATACCCAACTGTGCAATTTTTGAGCCTGGTCATCTAAAAAGGCACTAGATAAGATGGGCATCAATCCCAGACTCTGCCCCTGAGAGTATGTTTCAGCAAGACATCCCTTTCCTGAGATGGCTGCCCAAACTTCCCAGGCACTCAACGAACTGCCCCATCCACCCCATATACATTTTCTAGCCCTCTTTGGTAGTCATATTCCTTCTGGCAATGTAACACATTTTCCAACACTTTATGTAAGGTTTGTCACCTTCTAACCCCTAGAGGTATGTTTTTCTTTTGATCCATGTTTTCAAACATATCTAAGATCAGGCTGTGCCTAAAAGAGTAAAGACACATTCCTTTTCAAGCTATGTATTCATTTTGTTCAATTAATATTGCGTAGAGAGCGTGCTGGCGGGTTTTGCATGTATACATTACTAGAAACCAAAATTACCGTGTGCTGGAGATAAAGTTAGCTTCTGAAATTCTTTTTCCCCTTTAAAATAAAAATAGCAGAATCTGCCTTTAATTGACCACCTAAGACATCACAGAGGCTTCCTGTGTGCAGAGGCTTTGCTTTTAATATCTGTTTTCCCTTGACTTTTAAGAGTAGTCTTTATTTGCAAGTTTATTATAGAAGCGTTCAAATTAGAGGTGGGCTGAAACCGCAAAGTTTATGTCCGGACCTGGATGCAACTTTCTAAGAGTTTGAAGGTCCGGGTTTTTGATTGTTCTGACCAGAGATTACAGAGGTGTCTATAAAATTCATTTTCAGAGCCACATCTCCTGGGTGTGGAAACACAACACTTTGCTCAAGCTCTTTTCCCTAGTGTATTTCGTAAAGCAGATTTATGTAGTGGAATATTAGTGGTCTGACAGAAAGGGAGAGCTTCCTGTGAGTTTTTTTCAGACGAGAAAAATAAATGTAAACAGTATTTGTCCAGAAACTTAAAAACGCGAACAAATGTTGTTCAACTCAAGATGTTCACAGTCTTTTTTATCATGTTGAAGCCCTTCTCAGCAGGGTCTAATGATATAATTTACACTTTCTATCACAGGGCTGGGAGAAGGTTCTGCTCTTCTTCACCCAGACAGCAGGTCCCACCCTCGGTCCTTGGAGAAGAGTGCGTGGAGGGCTTTCAAGGAGTCACAGTGTCATCACATGCTGAAACACCTTCACAATGGAGCTCGGATCACTGTGCAGATGCCTCCCAATATTGAGGGCCACTGGGTCTCTACTGGGTAAGGAAAGATAAAACAAGATGCTGGAGATGGGGAAGAGAAGAGGGTGAAGGAACAGAGAGGGAAGGGTGAATATTCCCACTTTAAGCAGCAGGGGCAATACTTTCTTTAATATGGTGATGCTCTAAATTCCAGATGCTCTCTATATGGTTATGCATAAAAGGAGAAGGAGTAGCATTATGTACATTAGAATAGCGTGCTATAAAGCTGTCTTGATGAATCAATTTATAATCTGGATTTTAAACAGCATGCTGTGAAATATCTTTAAATCGCTCTTTGAATAGGAAGAAGCCTACTAACTTGTCAAAGTGAATGCTTATTCAAACATAACATTGTACTGTATTTGTCTACATGCATTAGATCCATTGAATGAGTATTTGTTTCCAGAGCATGTGTCTAGCACAGGTTTTATTAGCAAAAGAAAATTAAAAAGCTGTATTTCGCTAGTTCTATAACTCTTTACACATGATGACTTGTAATTGAGAGAACCATTTTGCTTCCTGTGTCTCAGCAGACAATATTCACATCCTCATTTGAAGTGACTTGTAGTAGGAAAGACTGGGGGTTTTTTAACAGAGTGTATTTCAGGATGAGAGGAAATGGTTGCACCAGGGAAGGTTTAGATTAGATATTAGGAAAAAGTTCTTCACTGTAAGGGTATTCAGGCACTGGAATAGGCTACTCAGGGAAGTGGGGGAGTCACTGTCTCTGGAAGAGTTCAAAAGGCATGTGAATGTGGCCCTTGGAATGTGGTTTGATGGTGAACATGGCAGTGCTGGATTAACGGTTGGACTCAATGGTCTTAGAGGTATTTTCCAACCTCAGTGATTCTATGAATCTATTTATGTTAAGCACTGTAGAGATGACAAAGGGAACAAGTCTGAAGGCACAAAAGGGCTTTCTACAGGAAGTGGAATTTAACTGCTATTTACACCTTCAGAAAAAAAAAAAGAAGAAAAAACCAAACCAAACAAAAAACAAAACAAAAAACCAACCAAACAAAAACCAAACAAACAAAAACTAAAAACAAAACAAACAAAACCAAACAAAAACAAACAAAAAACCAAACAAAAAAAAAGCAAACAAAAACAAACAAACAAACAAAAAAAAAGCCCTGAATATAGCATGATCCAAATTCAAGCCAGGTAGAAGTTTTGCATTAACATCAGAAGTTTGCATTAGCTGCCAGCCCTGTTGAATGTTTGAGTGGGAAAGCTGAGGACATGATCCTACATGTCCTCAGCAGACCAGAGCTCATGGAACTCACACTGAGAAGCTTCTACTGCAGCTTAGAAGCCAGTTCTTTGTTCTATTCCATGGACATACAACACTTCACTTTCTGATGTTATCAGTCATTCTGCTAAATCTACCATGCAAAAGAGGGGAATAGATGTTTAAAAGGCTGCTACTTTTTTCAGTGAAGAATTGATTCACATGGTGGTCCTAAACAAAAAGAAAAAGCAAAACATGATTCGAAGTATTTAAACCTAGAAGATAAAGCCTTTAGATATGATCACATTAATAACAGCAGAGGGAATTGTTGATTAATCAGCAGGCCACAGACGACTAGTTCCTATTTACTCCCATTCATGCCAGGGGGGCATTAGCACCCAGGTGTCTCTGGGTCCGGGTCTTGTTGCCTGTAGTGTACATGATGTGCCACCTTGCTAAAATTTTGTTTCCACACTTTCTTTCTTTCTTCCCACAGCTGCGAAGTTCGAGCAGGCCCAGAGTTCATCACAAGATCTTACAGGTTCTACCACAATAATACTTTCAAGGCCTACCAGTTCTATTATGGTGGCAATCGCTGCACAAACCCCATCTACACGTTAGTTATACGTGGCAAAATACGCCTCCGGCAGGCGTCCTGGATCATCCGAGGGGGCACTGAAGCGGACTATCAGCTACGCAACATACAGATCATATGCCACAACGAAGCAGTAGCCAAAAGATTAAGCGAATTGGTGAACCACACGTGTCCTGGATTTATCCCAGAAGACAGCCCCTGGGAGCAGGATGTGAGTTACGATTTGCTGAGAGAAGAGAATGGCTGTGAATGCACCAAAGCTCTGAATTTTGCCATGCACGAACTCCAGCTGATCCGTGTGGAGAAGCAGTACCTGCACCACAATTTAGACCACCTTGTGGAGGAGCTATTCCTTGGAGACATTCACACTGATGCTGCTCAGAGGAGGTACTATCGGCCCTCTAGTTATCAACCTCCCCTTCAAAATGCCAAGGTAAGTGTGTGTGTGTGTATATATGCCCTCTTTTTGAGATACTGGTGGCAAAGCCCAAATTACTTCTGAGTAGTGTAACCTAAAATGTAGATGTGCTTATATATAAGCACATATAAGTGGTCCGTTGCAGCCTTACACTTAACAAAAGATCACAGAACTTATTTTGTGAGAATAGGAACTTTGCTGTGGTTTATGTGACTGCATCAAATATGCAAAAAAGTAGTCTGGTGAACTGAGGCCAATAAGGCCACTCTGAAGATGGAATCAAAAACTTGTAGGCAGAGATTGGAGTGGTTGGCCAGAACCGTGGCTGTAGGCTAGCAGCTGAGAAGAAGGTTTCATACAGAGCTGAGAAAGGAGAAGAGGAACAGGCATCAGTGGATGCTTGTATAGCTGTGGGAGTGCCAGGGAGAGAGGAAATTGAATTCCATCAGCATATGAAGGTTGGGTGATCCATAACCTGAAGAGGAGAAGAGGAAATTGGAAGGGGCAGCATGAAGGGTAAAAAACTAGTGGGCTGTGCAGGTCAGGGATCCAGATACAGGCATACACATTAATAAAATGAAAAACAGGTGAATTTTGAATGGGGCTCTAATTCCATTTGATAATTCAGTTTTCAGAGGGGCCTCAAAGTGCCCTCCACTTCACTGGGAAGTGATCGGCCCATAGTGAGCTAAATACAACTCAAACAGGAGGAGTAGACACTGATGGCCTATAACAGGAAGGCTGTCTATAGATCTTTCCTGGTGACATTTCAAAGGCAGGCAGCAATTGGAACCACATTGCCAGGTACCACTGCCACCAGCTGGGCGCTGCCACAGCATCACTTCCAGCTAATGCGTTACCACCATTTTTAATCACCTAGTCACGAATGGTTCAAAAATCAGCTACAGCTTGTCAGCAATAGCAGGAAACACAACAGGGGAAGGAAGAGTTTTGATGAAAAAGCCTTGGCTTTCCATTCAAAACCATGGGTTGTGTCTGCCTCCTGTGAATATCAAATTTTAATAGTTCAGGACCTTTTGTGATCTGCCTTTATTAATTGTTTTATAGCCTGGCCTAGATATCATTTTAATCTACAGTCAACTGTGTTTGTGTATCAAAACTGTTGTCATTTCTATCATTCTTATGCTCTCTTCAAATGACCACAGGCAAATTTAAATTTTCTTTTTAAATCTATTTATCTTCCCAAAATAGAGAGTTTCAGGAGCAGCAGATGAACCACAACACAATCCTCATCAAAATTTTGATTTTCTTTAATTAATTAAACAAGCACATCGACTCACTTTACTTGTTTGGGAGTGAGGGTTCTTTGCTAAATCTCTTCCTTGAAGGTATCTGCTGATAGAAATTTTCAGACACCAGCTATATTGTATCTGTTCTAGAAAATATTGTGCATCTTTTTCTGACCACATGAACAGAGACAAAATCTTGATTTAATTCACTGTAGCTGAGTATTTTTTTCTGGTCTAATCTACTTGTCTTATTATGGGCTGACAGATAACATAGTAAATGCCTACACTTCCACCTTGTAGTAATTTCATTACAGTCAGAACAGTCCAATATACTCTCAGCCAGCTTTATGAAATTAAGCTTGTTGTCCAGGTCCGCTGTAATTTTAGGACAAACTGGTGATGATTCTCCTGCCTGTCTATTCTGCTACTGTAACATCTTTTTTTCCCTCTGAAATATAGCCCCTTTAAAATACAATTCTCAAATTTAAGGGATCAAATCTTGCATAAGAGGCCTGTTTCTTTGGACAGGTTAGCTAAATAAACAATGAGAGCACTGATGCTCTCATTTATGTTTACAAATCCCAATATTTCAGGCACGATCCAATCCATTCTGACATGAGTGGGTGACACCTCTATGTGGAAGAAAAGAGGAGGTTCAGCCTGCCTGCCTGAGTCACCTTACACACTGCTATCCTGCAGCCCCACATGTCCAGATGGTCCCAAGCACTCCAGTCGGGAGAGCCTGCAGTGTGGATCACAGAGGAGGCTTCCATGTCATATATTTACAAGAACTGGGGGAAAGGAAAAGTGATTTTTGGTAACCAGCTCTTGGCAAGCCTGAATCATTGAGGCTGAATTTATGACACTGGAAGCCCATTCGTAACAGTACTAATGGTGACAGAAAGTGCTGACACTATAGAAAGCACAGCTTAACTCGGAGTACACCAAAATACATAGAGATTCCAGCTCTCCGTGGTGAAACTGAGTAGTTTAATAAATGGGGCCCCCAGGTCCTGACTTGCAGGCTACTGCTCAACTCCAAGTTTGGCCAATTATGACTTCTGACAGGTTACATTACTTCTTTTTCTCCTGCAGACACTGTCTCCATGGTCTGCTTGGTTCCCACAATGTATGCATAGCATATATACATATATACATATATATACATATATATATACAGCATCTGGATTGCTGGGATACCAGTCTCAGCTGGAGCCTTCAATGGCAAAAGATGTGTAGGTTTAACAGAAGTTTTGAGTGTGCAACAATGCAACTTCTCTTTATGTTTTCTAGTGGGTCCCCCATGCACAGATTTGACATGAGATTTCTTTTCTCTCAGGAGAAGCTGGGCCTGCTGATAATAGGCTTTCAGCATGATATAAACAGCAATACCCCTGAAAAATGAACCTTTGCCTTAGCTGCCATTAAAGATCCCTGGGTGCTGATTTGTACCTAAGCATGAAGTTCTCTATACCAGCAGGTTCTCAACCCAGCTGTCTGACCTAGTGTTTGCCAAGTGGAAGAAGAATAGTAACAGAAGTGCTTTTTTTTTAAAAAAAAAGGATCCAGGCAAACATACCGTTGAAAGGTTATAACCCTTCTTTTTTGAACTCTTTTCCTTTTCTAATTGTTGCTCCACTGGGACCCAGCTGAAAATGAGTTTAAATGCTAAATTGAGTTTAAAACTACAAGTCACAGACTCCTCTGGAAACTGGACACCATGAATAAATAGAAACGTTAAATCAACTTGTTTTTTTAAGGTTTCCACAGTCATACCAAGAGGTTGGGGAGGCCAGGAAATTGCCTCTGAAGTGAATCAGGTGTATTGTGTGGAATCTTTCATTTAAGGCTTTTTTCATTTCCTTTTTATTTATTTATGTTTTAGACTTATACAGGCCTGCCTAAAATAAGTTAAGAGGATTCACATTTTGAGTTAAATTTATAGTTAAACCTCTATATAGAAGAAAGTTCCACCCAGCTCAAGAGTTTACACAGCCTGTAAATTGGATGTGGTAGCCACATTCATTACTTGTGTGGTTGAAATGAGCGGTAATTAAAAGCAAATGATTGCTGGATACGTTAGGAATGCCAAAGCCCCATGATCAGGACTTTAAACAAATACAGTTGGACCTTATCCAAGTTCCTGCAGTGATTTCACCACAGGATGGTAAATCAAAAGGGCTGTCCAAAAACCAGACAGCTTTATGCTGAGCTACAAATCTGAATAAATTCACAGATTACAGTATCTCAAGTGCTCATATAAAATCAGGGAGCTTTTAAAAACATATAATATGTCATTTCTTGAGGCGTTACAAATTCTCTTAGATAAGAGCATACCTTAAACAAATTCCTCCCGTAAAATACATGGAAGTTCCTGAGTGCAGATGATGAATAGATCACTATATAGATTTATCTTAGCCGTTTCCTAACCTGGCTCAAGATATCAGTTAGGACTGACTGATGAATGGAGATGAACATCTTTGATGTCCCTTGGCGTTGCAAGTGTATCAAGTGATTCAAGATATTGCCCATGAAGCTTCTTCAGCCAGCATGAGAGAACATATGGGTGGAAAGGGCAGGCTGGGAAAACTGCTTGGCCATCATTATGTATACTACAAAAAATGTTCCCAATTAGGATGACACCAAGGAGGCTGCATGATTAGTTGTAAAATCACAAATGTATACAGGGACTTGTAGCATGAAGGAAGGCTTGAATGCAGTATTTGTTCGCTGTGCAGCACAGAAGATGTTTTCAGAGATGTCTGCTCCAAGCTACAGAAAATGCGTCCAAGAGCAGTTCTGGGAGACTTATTTCACATGTAATTGCCTCAGTAATATTGCTTTGTAAACAAAGAACTCCTTGAGCTATTTTATCGTTAGCAGAGTAACGGGAAAGATCAGAGCAGGACTATGACGACCAGTCATTCTAGTTAGATCATTGCTTAGGAATAAGGCCAGAGTGGTCTGGAACATCATAAGAAGCCTAGAAAGTGCTAAGACAACCTTCGCTCTTTGTCATGCTCAAACATTTGCTGGCCACACTCTTTCAGTAGGACATTTTCCCTTGAAAATGTGATTCCAGTGGATTAGTTGTCTTTTACAGAGGTTTATTCACCTCTGAGAGCTGACTTCCAGCAGCACCTCGCATTGGCAGCTAATACAGATTCAATGTATGGAGACTGGTGTCAGGGCTTTCCTTTAGCCAGGTGGTGAAAGAACAAAGTGTGCAAAGTTTTCTGTGCTTTTCAGAATTTGAGTCTTCATCTCTTTGAAATGCAGTGACTTCATCTATAGGGGAATGTTATGTACTTGAGGAGCTCATGGGGAAATGCAATCATAAGTTAATAAATAGAAGTTCAACATGTGAAGTGCCTCAGAGAAATATGCAAAACATTATCTCAACCAAAAAGTAAAATTTTGGCAGACAAAACTCCTTTGTTTGCCTGAGTAGTGCCACTAGACTTTTAGATTAAGCCAAGACTTGAAGGGTTCCTTTTGTTCATTATTACATGAAAAAGGCTCTTGGTTGGGGAAATTGTGAGGGGAAGCAAAGAAAGAATATTCAGAAGAATGTTCAAATGGGTTAATTCCAGGTTTATGAACAGTAACAGTGTGCGTTGTGCCCTGCAGAGATGAGAGAAGCAAACAGCTTCTAGCTGAGGTTGGCCCTTGCCGTGCTCGGCAGTGCTGTCGGCTGTGGCCCTGCTCCTTTGAAGCTGCCACATCTGCACTTACCACTCTCTGTTCTGCAACTCCAGTAAAAGC